ATATGTAAACATGCACATATTTTAGTATCATTTCCACCTTAAATCATTTTCAGTTAGTGCAAAATATTCTACCCAGTGAGACTATATTATGCTACATTAGAAAAGTTATTTTCAAATATCTATTTTTCTAACTTGATATTAATATACTATAATTTTTGTGATATGACTTATTATGTAGTTTACTCTTGCAATTCTTCCTCAAGATAAAATGTCTTATCAGGAGAAACTCATAGGTTTCTCACCTGTCTATCTTCTATTTCCACTAGACAAATAATCCACACTTCCTTATATAGTCACATTCCCATATTAATATAAAAAAATACCACTCCCTCTACCAGTTTGCAGGAAGAAATGATTCATACAATGAACTCTTGAAGAATTTTTTCCATTTGTTGAAAGACAATTTTCAATAAGTACATTTGGTACTTTATTATCAATGTAGTTTTTAATCCTCATAAAAATGAAAAGCGAATTTTTTAAGCAAATGTTATATATAAATAAATGATTATGTTTCAGTTTAGGTAATTTACTTGGCATATAGCAAATATGGATTCAAAACTGAGTATGTCAGACGTTCTACTTATTTTATGAAAATATTGAAGACCCTAAGCACAGTCTTCCCTGGATAAAGCTTTAGTTATTTGTAGGTAGGTCTCTCTCTCTCTCTCTCTCTCTCTCTCTCTCTCTCTCTCTCTCTCTCTCTCAGTTTGTGTGTGTGTGTGTATGTGTCCATGTGTTTTGTGAGTAAAGTGAATTATTCCTAGAAACCCTCATAAATGACAATGCTGGTACTGTTAAAGATTGTGTAATTCCCAAATGGAAGTGGAACAAGGATAACACCAACAAGTACTCTAAAATAGACAAATGGACAGGGGGAAAAACATGGGGCCTCAACCCTACACAAAGAACTTCAGGAAACTGAGGAAAGCTGACATTGGGAGAAGTGGTCCTTCCCAGAGAAAAGCACACCAATTGGTTGTTTACTTCCACACAGCCCTGAAAACACATAGACAAGTGACATTAGATGGATTCAATGGTCAAATTGAGGGATATATGTGTATCCAAATGCATATATTAACATTTAGCTAAATATTAAAACATTTATTAAATATTAAATAATCAGCAATTGATTTTAAAAAAAGGACATAAATTTGAAGGAGAGTGGGGAGGGGCATTTGGGAGGTTTGGAGGTCGGAAAGGGAAAAGAAGAAACATTGTAATTACATGACAATCTCAAACCAAAGAAAGTGGGGAAAAAACCCACTAGGAATTGCAAAATCAAAATTATTTATAATTAGAAATCACAAAAAAATAGTGAATAAATCATACTCCAATGAGTCTCTTGAACCAAAGTTAGTATGTGATGGAATTATTTAATTTAACCCATCCTTAAGTCTTTATAATTGAATTTATTTTTTAAATTTTGCAAATTCCCTATTTAAGGTCCCTTAAAAGCAAGTTTCTTCCAAAATATTTTAGTTGTATTATACAGGACATTCCAATATCAGCCTCTTAACTATTTTAAGCTAAACAAAAGGGGTACATTTGGTTGCTTTTTGTTGTTGCTGTTAAGTGTATTACCAAATAGCTTATTTTATTAATAATAATCTTTATTTTTAAAAATTTCATATTTATATACTAGGAAATAGGATCATATCCATCTTTAATTTTCTTAACTTGATTCCCCAAATAATACTCCCCATCAGTTTCTACTTGCAAGTTCAGATCTTTTTTTTTAAACTCACCACATCCATATGTGTTGCCAATATGTGCATGGATTCAGGGATACCCCCTGGAGCACAGGAAACCTATCAGTGGCCACTTCCACAAGAAGGAATGATTTTCCTTTGCACACATGTCACCCACTACTAGTTTCTGAGTTAGCAGTAAGGCCTAAAGAGCACCTCTTTCACATGTGCTGGGAATTTGGCTGGCTATATTGTTCACATATCATAAAGGTAACCAAGGCAGCCAGAAAACTAGAAAGGAGCCTTGAAGAAAGGCTAGGGTAACACATGAAGAGCAGATAGTAGATTGTGGGTAAGACAAAAGTAAGGAAGTGGAATACTAGAGGTGGGAATCATTAAACAAGGAGGGGCCAGAAGTACAGGGGAATTCTGGGAGAAGGAAGGAAGACTAACTCAAAAGAAAAGCCATATGTCAGCCTACTAGCCCAGAAGTAGGTTAAATATATATTGTAGGTATAATAGAATACATGTGATAGGAAAGAAGAGATGGGAATACTGGAGTAACAAGACTAAGAAGAAAAGGATGGGTGCTGGGGAGATGGGTTGACCAAAACTATGGCTATATGTAAAACGTTTAATCAAACTTACTATTTAGTAAGCTCATTTCAAATTATAACTGTTTACAAAAGTTTAGATATAATCACCCTGCCCTGAATAGGTATGCAATGACACTCTCCGAATACATGGATTATCAAGTTAAAACTGGATGCCATGGTGAGGGGGGCCTCCAAAATTAAGTTACCATTTCTTAGAGTACCACAAATAATTCCAGAGATGAACTTTTTACAATATTAATTCAATATTTAAGAATACTCCTAAACAAAACTGTGCTCAAATTTACTTGTATATGGACAATCTCCAGTGGCCACATTAGATGCAACAAAAAAGTGATAAACAGGATAATTACTTAATGGATCTCATTTCACTTTTTAAGACTGACAGATGTGCTTCCAAGAGTTATCTTTTCCCAACATTTCTGTTTCTTTTTTAAATTTGCCTTTGAATCATTGACTTTCTTGTGCCTTTGAATCTGTTGAGAAAAACAATTAAATATGTTCATTTACTTTCCTAGAAGCCTTATATAAATCATTCTGTCTAAAACAGATTTTACTTTAAAAAAAATCCCACAAAAGACATTAAAACTTAATCTTTTGTAATTATTATTTTAGATTACAATACAGTTACATTTCTTCCTTTCCTTTTCTCCCTCCAAGCCTCCAATATACAACTCCCACTCTCTTTCAAATTCGTGGGCTCTTTTTTTCACTAATTGTTATTGCATAAGTGTGGACTCAGTATCATAAACAATACTTACAATAAAAACTTTAGATAGTTTGATAGAGTAAGTCATAATTGAAAGAGAAACTCAAGCCAGACACAGTAGCACAAGCCTGTAATTCTAGCCTAGGAAAAATGAGGCAGGTAGAGCTGAAGTGCAAGGTCAGTCCAGGTTTTATTAGAAAGAAAAGAAAAGGAGAAGGGGGAGATGAAAATAAGAAAAAAAACATAGAGAGTGTCAAGGGGGATTTAAAAAATATATAAGAATTGGTTTAGCTTAAAATAATTATGCTAATTGCTTAGATAATCAGATGAAGTAAAAGAAATGACACACACAGAATTCAACAAATAAATATTGGATACTGTCATCTTAATTGTAATATTTTTAGATACTCAAGGGTGAACAAGTTCTGCATATAGAAATGGGACTATTAAACCATTTTATTTGGCCAGGATTTTGATGTTACACATTATTGCATAGAACAATAAGAGAACATGAACAAAAGTACAAGCACTCAAACCACACTCATACATATTCAAATCCAAACCTAAACTAGGCAGCAGGATGAGTTCAGTTCCTAATTTTATAGCTGGGCCAGAGACCTGAGTGTTCTTCCAGGTATAATGACTTGAATGCTTGTTTAATTTATTCATGTAATTAATTAAAGTATTAGTGATACTCCTTTGTGCACAAGTGAAAACCATCACTTACGTTGAGTAAAACATTCTGAGATATTTTAAGAGCCCTACTATCCTCAAAGGGAAACATTGTTCTTGTTTTTGTGATATCTTATTTTGTTCTCTGCTTTCTCAATTGTGTGTGTGTGTGTGTGTGTGTGTGTGTGTGTGTGTGTGTGTGTGTGTGTGTTTCTTTTTTAACCCAGCTTGCCAGGGAAGTAGCATTTTATAATAACTGTTTCTATTGCTAAGGTGCCCACATCTCTTCCTAACTATCAATCAGAGTTCAGAATGAAAGACAAATGGACATCCATTTGAACCTTAGTGTGAAACAAGTGATGTTGGAGTGAATGGAAACAGCCTGGCAACATCCTGCAGCTTTTACCATAGGTGAGTGAATAGGAAACACAACAATGTTATTATTGAAGCTAAGAACTTTGTCAAAGGCCAGACATGTTTTATTTTGTTAGTGAAAGAGAAAAATATTCTATTTACTGTTATTATGCACAATCATAATACAGTGGTTCAAGAGTTCACTGGTGAGTGAGAGAATTAAATATGAGTGCACAGGAAGAGTTTCCTCGCTCTACAAGACATAGGCTTAGGCACTTGTACAGGAAAGTATATTTCCTCAAGCATAGCAATTGGATTAACTCATTTTTTTTATTGAGTTTTTTATTTTGAATGGAATGCTTTATCATCTGGTTCCTTCAGCCTTTCATAATAGAACCTTCCTGTTTCCTGCTGGATTTCAACATAGGTGATAGTGTTAACTTAAATGTATTTAAATTGACTGTCAAAACATGACTTGGTAAAAATCCATTAAAATAATCTCCCAAATGCCCTGATGCATTAAACATTTTAAGGTACACCCATATTGCAAGAAGGGAATGTGTTTATCTCCATTTTATGAATAGTCTTCAATGGGGAAAAAAAGAAGCCCAGAAATTGACAGCTGGTCCAGACAGAATTTCCAGAGACTGAGTGTATGCTTGCACAGAGCTTTTGTTCTGTTTGTATGGATAATAATATGGTTCCTTAATTAGTTTTGGAAGGCATCTATTGTAGACTGAATGTTATCTGTCAAACACTCAAAAGATGCAAGTTTACAATTTATTTTTCTCTTTGGTTGAATGTTCCTTAAGAAGTGAATTTTAAATATTAGAAAAACTATTTTCTTCATAAAACATTAAAATACTGTAACAATAAAATACCTTTTGCCATTCTATTTAATTAAAATCTAGCTTTTGAAGATTCAAGTACATATAACTTCGAAAAATATGAAATAGCTAATATACAAATTAAAAAGTACCAACAAAAGCAAGATATCAAAGATCTACTCATAGCATAAGTTTATATAATTAACCCTCTAAAATGCCTATTTACATATTATGAATTACTCTCTTCACATTGTGGATGTTTTCATACAATAAAATTTCCATATCTAATATCTGGTAAAAAAAAAAAAAAAGAAAGTGTTCTTGAAATAATTTTTGACAATCACTAGCTTTATTTGTTATTTAATAGCACTAAAAAATTATTTTTTTCAGTCCTTTGTAATTTTTTGGCACCAATAATCCCCACCTGTATAAAGGCACAAAACTTACTGTTCATATTATACAAAATGTTTTTTTAATATTTATATAGCATTCATTGTATTCATGGCAGTCTTTTATGAGATTCAGAACTTACAAAGGTTAATAGGGACTCTGTCATCAATGAGCCTAGAGTACAGGGCCATTAAAGTAAGTACCTATGTGGGAGTCATTTCACAAAAACGAAAATCATTGATAGTTATAGTCCAGGGGGTAGGAAATTTTTCCTTGGGAATGATTAAACCTTGTGCTGAACAGAATTTATAAAACAGGTGGAGAGCATTTGGGTTCACTGTGTACACAAAGGGAAGCAAGTGGCGGGGGCACCTGCCGCAGTACAGGAAGTTGTACTTTTTCCTTAGGTAAACTTCTTAAAATGTGTGAATTACATGATTATCAGCGACATGAACAAGCTGATGGAAGTACATTAAGATGCAGAAATGTGTACAAATACTATCAGCATACAATGAGTTCTGGAAGCAAAACCATACGCAGCACCCAAAACACGTAGTGATTGCAGAAGATGATTGCAAATTTTAAATATCACGCTAGCAATTTTCCATGCGGAAAAAAAATTAGTGAAGTGAAATATAAGCGAACAGTTATCTGTAGGCAGAGTGGCACTCATCTCTCCAATTACAAGTTATAGCATGTGTTGTTCCGAAGCATGTATATTCATATCTCAGGTGTGTAGGCTCTGAAATTTCAGGTGCATCTCTGAGTAGAGGCATTGTGTTCTTCTACACTGCTTTCGTGGTCAATGACTATAGCTAGTTTCATGCGTTTTAATGAGGGAAATTATCCACAAACTTTACATGAATCAAATTTCTGTAATTTCAAGAACATCAAAAATTCTACTCCAAACTCTTCAAGATTTGCATCATTGACTGATATAATTACTTAGTTTTGTCTGCTTACTGAAAAGTAGTTGCTGCCTGAGAAGTGTGATAATAGCTAATTTTGCTCACTACACTTTAAAAATTATAGACTGTTAGAGAAAAATATAGGCATTTTCAAGTAATGTGGTTCACCAAAGGCCTCCGGTGGGAGGAAAGTCCCACAAATTATTTGAGAAAGAGGGTTCTGTGATGAAATAAATTAGGAGACTACCCTGTATAATATTTTCTTTCAGGTGGCTTTGGTTCATTTTAAATGTCAAATTTCCACAATTTAGAGTTACCTAGGAAAAGGGTCTTGAGTAAATGTCTTTTTCGGGTTGGTCTGTGAAATTACCTTGTCTATTTGAAATTACCTTGATTGCTGATTGCTGTAGGAAGATCCATGACATTGTGGACAGCAGCATTCCCTAGGTAGGGAGTCCTACTTATATAGGGCTAGATCAGACAGAGGAAAAGTAGATGTAGCATGGGTATACTTGTTTCCGTCTTTAGTAGAGATAGAAGGTGATCTTCAAGTTCCAGTATTGACTTCTCTACTACCGTATACTGTAACTGTGGAAGTGCAAGCTGACTTAGCCCTTTCTTGCCCTGAACCACTGCTGGTCAGGGTATTTTATGACCACAACAATAAATGAAACTGGAACAGGTGGAACATATGCATTGCTGCTGTAGAAGGGCTTGAGAAAGCAACTAAAAAACATCATACCTTCATTTCCTTTAAACCCCAATTGTTAAGTTATGTATAAAGAATGTCCTTCGCCGGGCAGTGGTGGCGCATGCCTTTAATCCCAGCACTCGGGAGGCAGAGCCAGGAGGATCTCTGTGAGTTCAAGGCCAGCCTGGGCTACCAAGTGAGTTCCAGGAAAGGCGCAAAGCTACACAGAGAAACCCTGTCTTGAAAAACCAAAAAAAAAAAAAAATGTCCTTCAATTTGCCTAATTAATGCTGAAACATTTCAATCCAGACATGCCTTGTAGTCTATAATATAGAGAAATAAAGCCACTTGAGATGGTAAGAGTCAGGATTTGCATTCTGACGGTTCATAATTACCTCTGTTGTTTGGATAATTATATTGATTCTGAAACATTGGTTTCTTCGTCCTTTAAAATACTGTACTTAATATATGTGATTGTAGAAATGTTATAAGGGTTAAACGTAAAGTGGTTTCCAGCTAAGTATTCATATGGTCACTTAATAACATTAAGTATGACTTAAAGATGAGACAAGTAAATATAGACCTAAGAGGTGAATTGAAGCTAACTGATGTTTGATAGTTACATACAGTAGGAGGACTCTGAAGGCCATCTTTGCTTTCTTTGAATTATATGCTGCCTAATTCTAGCAGACAGTGTCTTTTTAATTAGCTGTGCATACCCTCTCTCCTTCACAGAGCTCCCTTCTACACTCTCTTGTTCCTGCTCTTCACTCTCCATTCCTCATTTCTCCATTCTAACAACCTGGTGACCTCCAGATGGTGTGGCAGGACACGAACACCTCATGGCTTTGGCATGCACACTTTCGGAATCCTCTCTCTCTTATTATGTCACACCCAGCTGTAAGTGACTCTTGTCCTAGCCAAGATTCTGTCCCTGCTTTAAGGTAATACATTGACCTCTAATAGCTTAGAGAGCAATGGAATGCCAAAGACACAGTAAGGGATTTGAAAGACACTGGTCTGTTAAGAACAAATCTCATTTAAAAATGCCAGGCTCTACATGTTAGGAGAAATGTGTAAGAAAAAATTCAGATAGATTTATAAATTGCATTCACTAGCCTTTTATGGAATGCCTTTTAATCTGATCACTTGTTAGGATTGCCAACTGGGTCTACTCTTTCATGGCAGTACACGGAAGTTATGTGAAATCAGGTTGATTGTCTTTTATATGGGCTATGAAATAAATGTTAATATATTAAACATGGCTGTTTTAACTAGTCTTTATAGTTTCCCAGTTTCCATACCAATTCCAGATAATTATTCATAACTTTCTCATTAAATCTTAATGGATAAAACTGCTACTCTCCCCATCCCCTTTAAACTTACTAGAACATTTTGTTCATTCTATATGAAAACTTTCCTTTGCTGTATAAAAAGTGATTTTTATACCTGTGGTCCTTAGATACTCTAGTTCTGGTTAATTTTTGATAAAATATGTCACTCAGATTTTTCAGACATGTCTCACCTCTAAGGCTTTATGGAAATATTCTCAGCAGGTTCTAGAGTTAGATTGGCTGTACATAGACATTTGCCAAACCACCAGAAAGAATTAGAGCCAGCTCTGGCTTCTTACTTCTCAGTGGGAACCACAAAGAGAGCAGCCACCTCCTTCAAGCCGTTACAGCTCCCTGGGATATTTTGATTATTGCCTTCTGCAGCATAAGACAGCTCCTCTCAGTGTGAAGCCTAGACTTCTGCACCAGATCTGAGTCCCAGGCCTGAAATTTCAGACAGAGATATCTTCTCCCAGAATTCAGTATCCTGCCATCCTTTTAAGAGAAGACAACAAATTCTAGTAGCCAACAAGGTCTCTGGGGCTACTCAGAAGGACAAGATGACCCTGTTTGGGGGAAGCCTCTTCAGAGAGAGTGTAGGCAGAGAGTCCCTGCGAGCTTATCTGATAGATTTCCTTGAGTGGGAGGTACATCTAAGAAGCCCCAGGAAGGGCTGTGGTCTTCTGTTGGAAGGCATGATGACTACAATCTTGATTCAAATTCCATCAAAGCTAAAGCAGCCCTTTACATAACCTCGGGCTTCTCCACACACCAAGCTGTGAGAGGACTCCTTTGAGACATCAAGAGTGAACCTGTGACCACAAGCTGGTGTAGGAACATTTCCTGTCTTCTTCCCAAGCTACTTCTGTCAGACGTCCAGGGAGAGGGCCATATTTACAATTGCAAG